AGTTATTATTAATTATAAATACTTTTACAATTAATAAATGCGCAGGTATACTAATTAATCTATATACACACAAATATAACCTGAATGGAATTTACACTTCCAGTGAAGTAATTCCTAACTTAGTCTAGTAATAATGAAATAATATATAAATTGTAAAATAAGTATTTATAAATTTAAACCAAGTCATATGACCTAACGTGTTTTAGACGTCTTTGGTCATTGGAATTGTCTAATAGTTGAATTGACGCTAGGTTTTTATGATGTTCCAACATTATTATATTTCTACTTGTAATCAAGTGACTTCATCTGCTACGGTAATATCATGATGAATGACATTATTTTTATCAAATTGTCAAGCCACGATGATGTACAAAGTACAAAATTTTTACAGCATTTTAGAACTTCTATGTAGAACTTACCAGCATAACCCCGCAATTGAACCCAGTAAATCCATATAAGTTTTACGATTGCTTCGTATAACTGACGTTTGTTCTTTAGTGATAGATCAAAATTTTTTTCAATAAACCAATAAAGTTTGCGCAGTTTATATTTTATCTGCAGCTTTTCTGGCGTACACAGTGTGTCCAGTTAAGGTGCGAATCAATGTGCATTTCCAGATATTTAGCTGAATCATTTTGTGAGATTATTTGTTGATTTAGAAATATTGCAGGTTTTATGTAACGTAATATTTACGTGCACTGACTTTTCATTGTTAGCCTTGATCTTTCAATGTTTCAACCATGTAGAAATGTTGTTTATAGTTATTTGGATATGATCAGAAGCTATTCATTGATCTTTATTAGTTGTTTATGAGTATTATCTGAAAACATAGTAGTTGTTGAGTTAGTTTTGGTTGGAATGTCAGCTGTGTACAGTAGTTACAATATAGGGCCCTATATACTACCTTATGAAACTCCAGCTGTTATATTTTTCCAATAAATTACAGCTTCTTCATATTTGGCCCAGAACTGTGTTTTAGTCAAATAGGACTTAAGAATGTACACCATGAGTTTGGTAATTGTTTTAGTAATTTTATTAGCAAACTTTTGCGTCAGATTTTATTGAAATCTTGGGCTATTTCGAGGAATACTCCGTAAAAAATTTTTTTTTTTCGAACGCGTTACTTATTATGATTATTACACAATGAATTTGATCTATGGTTGAGGTTTGATTCTAAAACCAAATTGATGATCTAGAATAAATTGTTTTTCTTCTATTTAAGGTATTAGCACTTTAAAAGAAGATTTTTGAAAATTTTAGCCTACAGATATTGATACCTATATGAGGTAGGTTGCTCTAGAAGCTGGCCAGATTTCAGCAACATTATTTTGCCTTTTTCCATTGTTCTGAAATACAATGTATGCGTTTTATAGAGTTTTAAATTTGTGTTAAATGAATGATAGCTTTTTTCAGTAATTCTTTTAAAACACGAGCGTTAATTTCATCATTACTCATTGCCTTTTTAGGGTTGATATATTTATCGATTTCATGGACACCTTTTAGTGGAATTAAGTGGTGTATTTTTTGATTGATTTCATTTGATACTTGATATTGTACTTGGTCAAGTTCTGAGTTTATGTCGTTCGGTGAAAGAACATATTCTTAATGAAGTGCATATACTTATGCTTGGTCATAGTACTACGCGCTCACGTACCAGCTTTTTTTTCGAATAAGAGATTATAATCTCGGGGTATTTAAATTTTTCTTGTAGTTTTCCATAAAGAGCGATCGCTAGAAACTGTAGTAGATAGTCCGTTTAAAGATGACTTAATTTTTTTATTTTTAACTTCTTTGATTTACCACAAAGTGCATTGCATAAACGGATCCATTCAGTTTTATCTACTAAACAACGTATCGTGTGCCATTTCTTCTCATTCTGCGTTTTTACCGAATAAGTTTTCTTATCTTTGTTGGATAGATTGTCTCATGATATTTGTCTTCACAAATTTCTGGTGTAGATTTTTCTTACGCTTCAAAAATATCATTAGTTAGTTTATGTACTTCTATTTCTATAATAGTTGCTGTTTTCAATCGTATGGAAAGTAAATATTATTCTATGACCATTCTAAAAAGATCCCAGTGTGTCTGTTTATTTGTAAAGAAAACCTTCCGCTTTTTTAATATGACTTTCAAACTTATTGTTAATAATACAGAAAACTGATCAGACAACAGATCTACCAGCTGTTATATTTGAACATAGTTAGAAAAGATACCTTTAACTACGAAGAAATCTATAAGATTAAGAATTTTATTTGAGTCATTTGAATAGTAAGTTGGTTTTCTAATAAAATTAAACTAAGCTTTATTATAGTTAGCGGAGTTTAATAGTACACGTCATTTGGAGTTAATCAGTATTGATCCACAGTGCATATATTTGGCGTTATAATCACCACTTGCAATAAAACAGTTGCCTAATTTTTAGAAAAACTTATTGAATTTATTAAATTTAGCCTGAACTTGAGGTGGGCAATAAATTTCTAAAACTAATAAAACATTATTTTCATTAATAACTGACATTTGTTGCTTACATAGAATGTTCAGTAAATAAGGAAACCTGTTTCTGTACTTATTGAACACTCTGTATATGCATTGTTGAATATTTTTTATGTTCAAAATGTTTGATGCATTGTTTTATAATAACTTTTGTACCATCACGTATTCCACTGCTTGGGTATAAGGTTAGTGATGAGCAAAACAAGAACAAGACCAAGACTGTCAAAGTCTTGGTCATAGTCTTGTTCTTGATAGCTCAGTCTTGGTCTTGGTTTTGGTCTTGCAAATCTAGTCTTGTTCTTGTTCTTGGTCTTGCTTTGCTAACTCAGTCTTGGTCTTGGTTTTGGTCTTGCAAATATAGTCTTGTTCTTGTTCTTGGTCTTGCCCATAAAATCTTGTTCTTGTTGTGAGTCTTGTCACAATACTCTTGCAAAATCTTGCATTCATTTATATTTGTAACAATTTTCTACTTAAAAGGTTTAAATAACGAAGTTATCTACTTCAGTTTGTAAATTCAAATTTAATTTATATGCCATAGGATTTTTAAGTTAGAACTTAATATTAGCATAAACAATATGGATGATTTTTTTATGAATAGTTTGGGGTATTAAAAAAAAATAAACAAATAAATTAAATTATAAAAAAATAAGACGTTATTGAAACAAAGTATTTTTTCACTTTAAACTGATGGCGTAATATTGTCCGAATGGTAACGCAGCGGATGTGCGGTCGGGGAGGACGCGATTTCGATTCTCCTAGTCGGATAATTTTTTTTGCATTTTAATTAATTTTTTTCATTGAATAATGAACATGAATATATTTATTTTATGAGTTTACCAGTCGCCGGTTTTATGTATCGATTTTTAAAACCGGTTTTAAATAATAATCGCTTTCTGTTCATAGACACAGTTTTTAAAAATTATTGGTTTTGATTAACAAAACCGAAAAAAACTGTTATAACCAGTTTTTATAAAACCAGTTTCAGTCTCCGCTTTAGAAGTAAACAAAAATTTTATCTAATTTTATCATAATGTTTGAAGCACGGAATATTTATTTTTAATCTTCTTTAATTATTTAAAATTAATTAATTACAATTGAATGACAATAAATTTTGAAACATGATTGTAAAATTTTAAGTTAATCGGTAACATCAGCTCATAGGTAATATTTAATTTGAACAATACGCGTAATCAATAAAAATCAAAGTAAAATTTAATATTGTTGAATCTGTCATTAATATTCTTAACGATTTTAACCAACAACAATTTTTTTTTTTTTTTTGCAAGAGTGCAATACTCTTGCAGTTTTATTCTTGTTGTTGCAAGATTCTTGCATTTTGAGTCTTGGTCTTGGTCTTGTTCTTGCAAGTGTAGTCTTGTTCTTGTTCTTGGTCTTGCTAAAAAAGTCTTGGTCTTGTTCTTGTCAATTGAGTACAGTCTTGATGTTGGTCTTGCTGATATTATTACAGTCTTGGTCTTGTTCTTGGTTTCGTAGAAATGCAAGACCAAGCCATGACCGCAAGAACAAGAGTAATTCTGCTCATCACTATAGATAACCGAAGGCGTTCATCGTATTCTCTAATCTAATAAACTATCAACGACTCAAAGACTTCAAATACAACCTTTATTACTTTTCTATTTTTTTTATCTTCAATTGCTTTCAATGTACAATATTTTATTTTTTGTAAAATCGGTCCGATAGTACATTGTCTCGCCCAGTGGATTGGCGACCCTCATTTTGTATTTTTCAATGCTCCATGAAAGTTACAAATTTTATCTGTTGTGGCCAATCAATTTCATTTTTTTTATGTCATTTGTAATCTTTCAGATTTTTAAATTTAAATTGGTTACATTCTAGTTTATCAAGTCTATTTGTCATATTTTTTAAATATTAAGTTATATATTAAGGCCCTTAATATACTCTTAATAAAATTTCCAATTAGAGCGGGAGTTATCATTTTCAACCGGCTGTATTGGTTGTTTTTTAAGAATAACATTATTTTCATTGAAACTACCAGCTATTTTAGTGTAGGAAACATCTGTGTTACAGTTTTCGCAGATTTCTGTTGAAGATGTTGCACTGTGAATGTTATTTTTAAGTGTATTTTTTCTTCGGCTTTTCCACAATTGCGCGTATTTTGATTTTGTCTTCTTCGATTTTGAGTAATCTTCTATTTTATATTATTTACCACATTTTAAACAGATAGATTTTTTATAACAATAATAATAATAGAAGCTTGATAGTTTTTACACTACGGCAAACCTTTTTTCTCGAAGATTCTACTTTTATTTTATAATAACATAAACTATTTAAGTCTTATAAATCTGTTTTGTTATTTTGAGGATCTACGAATAATAAAGGTAATTCAATTTTATAATTGATTTTTCACTATTTTTGTCATAAGGATTTATTAGCTTCGATACGAATCTGAGAAGGTATTAATTTTATCATAATGTGTTTATTTTTTTTTGTGTCTGTCGCTACTTTTTCTCAGATCTCAATGAACCAATTATTCTCAACGATACGTCGAGATCGCAAATAGTATCTAGTATTATACTCAAAAATTGAAAATTGTGTGCTCGTTGAATGGTGAAAATCCATCAAAAAGTTACGATTTTTATAATAAGTAAATTTTGACATTTTTAAAATTTTTTTTCAAAAAATTGCAATAACTTATTGAAAAATGAATGAATTGAAAAAATTTGTTAAATTAATAATTTTTATTTTTTAGATAGAAACCTTAGATATTTTCCTTTCATTTGATGTAAACTTTTTGAAAATCTGATTTTTTACCTGCCTACAGGGGGGGATTCAAAATAGCAACTTCTGCACAAAAATGTAACTTTTTCAACTTAAGTTTTAAAAATGTTTCGGAAATACTCCAAGCTTCAAATATATGTTAAAATAAAGCTTATTTTATGGATTGTGAAATAAAAAAAAATTTGTCTAGATGAGTTATCTTCTACATGAAAATGGTTGTCGTATTTAAAAAACATGCAATTTTGGTTTTAAAATTTATGATTTTATTTTTTCAACGTTTATTACTATAACTTTTGGAAAAATGTATGGGGATTAATACAATTTTTTTTCATAAATTCATTATTTTTACTTCTTTCATTTGACATACTTTTCTTTAAAATCGGAATTTATACAGAGGGGGTTTAAATCTTTAAAAATGTGAGTAGAATGTAGAACTTTTTCAATTAACTTTAGGAAAGGTTCTGGAAATACTATACACTATAAATATATGTCAAATTAAAGCTTATGATAAATAATATTTTAATGTAAAAATCGCTGTATAAAGTATTAATATTTTAATACTTAATCGTAATCAAAGTCAATAAAAAAAATATAATTTTAGTCTTCTCTCGTTTGAAGAAATATCTTATTAATATTAAAATTATTTTATTAAATGATTTTTTTTGTGGCTCTCATTTATTTTCTCAGCCATCACTTGACTAACTATTTTTAACGATACATCAAATCATAACTAGTATCTAGTTAAAGATATTATCCTCAAAAATTGAGGGAAAAAAATCCCCTTTATCAAATAGTAAGCAATTTTCTATTTTATAAATGGGATATTTTTTCTTCAAATAGAAAGTTGCTTAACTAGCTTTTTCTATATAGATAATTAAAATCATTCATTTCTAATTTTTAAAGTATTTATTTTCGAATTGGGTTTAATATAATAATAGGTTTCAACTACAAAAAATTAAATAATTTTACTTATTTATTATTATTTTAACTCTATTTGTGTGGGCTACTATCAGTCTTTAATATCTCAAATTTTTTGGTAACATGTTGCATAAAAAAAAATTTCTAAAAAAAATGATTTTTAGTTTCACCTTTTTGTAATAATAAAATTTTATAATATCCTTAATTGAGTGATTTTTATAACAATTTTTAGATTGTTTTTAGCTCCGATGCGAAGCTGAGAAGGTATTGGTTTTACTAAGATGTGTTTTTTTTTTTTTGTGTCTGTTACCACTTTTTCTCAGCTCTCACCGAACCGATTTCTTTCAATGATACGTCAAAAGATCACAAATCGTATCTAGTCGAAGACATTACCCTAAAAATTGAAAAAAATTCCCTCGTTCCCCGTAAATGGGGGAAACCTCCGAAAAAATTACAAATTTAAAAATGGCTAATTTTCGAAAATTTTTCAATTTTTTTTATTAAAAACTGCCGTAACTTTTTAAAAAATAAACATATTAATATAATTCTTTTTTTTATAGATGCACGATGTCATTACCTATCATTTGGTATATTTTTTTTATAAATCTGACCTTTTACCTGCCCACAGGGAGGGATTTAAAATGACAACTTTTTTACAAAAAATAAATTTTTTCAACTTAACTTTTGAAAGTGTTCCAAAAGGTCTGACACTTTTATATATATCTTAAATTAAAGCTAATGTAATATACTTTATAATGGTAAAAAAAAATTTTGGACTTTATTTTATCTTCATGGTGAAAACAGACATTAAACTTCATAAAAAAAATACGATTTTTGTAAAAAAATTCTTTTTTATATTTTTAACTTTATAATGCTATAACTTTTTGAAAGATGTATGGATCAATATAATTCTTTTTTTTTTAGATGCATGATGTCTTTACCTATCATTTGGTATATTTTTTTTATAAATCTGACTTTTTACCTGCCTACAGGGGGGGATTCAAAATGACAACTTTTTCACAAAAAATTGACTTTTTCAACTTAAATTTTGAAAGTGTTCCGGAAAGTCTGACACTTTTATATATATCTTAAATTAAAGCTAATGTAATATACTTTATCATGGAAAAAAAAAATTTCGGACTTTATTTTATCTTCATGGTGAAAACAGACATTAAACTTAATAAAAAAAATACGATTTTTGTAAAAAAATTCTTTTTTATATTTTTAACTTTATAATGCTATAACTTTTTGAAAGATGTATGGATCAATATAATTCTTTTTTTTTGTGATGCATGATGTCTTTACCTATCATTTGGTATATTTTTTTTATAAATCTGACTTTTTACCTGCCTACAGGGGGGGATTCAAAATGACAACTTTTTCACAAAAAATTGACTTTTTCAACTTAAATTTTGAAAGTGTTCCGGAAAGTCTGACACTTTTATATATATCTTAAATTAAAGCTAATGTAATCTACTTTATTATGTAAAAAAAAAATTTCGGACTTTATTTTGTCTTCACGGTGAAAATGGCTACCAAATTCTATTATTGTGTGAAAATTCTCAATTTTATTTTTTACATTTTTAACTTTACAATGCTATAACTTATTGAAAAGTATATGGATCAACACAATTTTTTTATGAAAAATAATATTTTTTTATATTAGTTCTTTCATTTGACATACTTTATCTTAATCAGGATATTAATAAGGAACTAGCAGATAATGTAGCTTTTGAAATAATCCACCAATTTTTTAAAATTAAACACTATCTAAAGATTTGCATCGAAGCGTTTTTTTTTCGATAATGATTTTAATCACTGTCAGATATCATTATACTTGATTCAACTATGTCACGTCACCACTGTGCCGCGCCCCCCTGTGCTGGGGTTTTTTTTTAGTTGAATTAAATCATTAATATTAATTAAAATCTGAATTCTTCAATTGTAGATTTTTTTTAAACGCCAAAATTTACTTAGAAATCATTATTATTATTTTTATTTAAGTGATCTATTACGAAATAAAAGAAATAAAAAAAATATCGAGCTTTACTGATAAATTTAATATAAATAGTAATTATAAAATTTCCAGACTGCATATTAATTTTAATAACATAATTTTTTTTTATTCTCATAAATTTTCTATTTATAGATATAAATTTCGAACATATATTATACTTATAAGTCATAGAAATGCTAATTAGGAATAATAAAGGAAATAGGAATTCATTCTGCTTTTGGAACAATTCACCAATTTTTTAAAATTAAACACTATCTACAGATTTGCATCTAAGCGTTTCTTATGATAGTGATTTTAATTACTGTCAGATATCATCTATACTTGTCCCAACTATACCTCGTCCACACTATGCTGCTACTACATTATGCTATCGTTTTTTTATCCTTATTTGGTTAAACTTGCATAATGATCATTATATGCTAGGAATCTTTTAATTTCATATATTTCAATGTCAGGATGTAATCCTCTGATTACAATAAAAAACTTTTTTTCTGTTCTTAATAGATATCTATGATACTCAATTTAATTTTTTTCGTTCACTTTTAAAGTACGTCTGAAATTGTGTTCATTACCAGTCATAATTTTAAAATCATCGTTTGCAATAGTTTTTAATTGTTATTCATGATCAATGATCTCTTTGTGAGTTAATTTAGAAATTAAGTTGTTGATATTTTTCACACGCAGCTATTGGTGGTGGTTTATACATTTTTGGTGCTATTTTTAATAATTTTTTTTATTCTTTCACTTGTTTTTCTGTTGAATTAAATATAGTATCTGAGTTACAACCCAGATGGGTTGTAACTAATAAAATTTTTATTTTTATTATAGTCATGTATGCTCCTCACATGCTGGTTAATTTTTTGAGTTTTCAACTGTTCAATGCTTATTTGGAGCTCTACACCATTTTTCATAATGATTTGTTTTCACTTTGTAGTTGAGTCAAAATAATTTGATCAATTACAATTTGATTTGGCTGTGTAATTATACATGTCTATTGTTGACAAAAAATGGTGGCTCGAGTCATTTCAGACAACTTGACCTAATTCGCCGTTGGTACATTTTTTCATAGTAAGCGAAAAAATTGTTCGTTATTAAAAATTGTTAAACAATACGCGCAAATTAGACACTATAAATCGAAAAATACATGTTACTGCTTTAACAAATGAATCGCACCTTTTTGAATAGTTGTGATAAATTTTCCGTTTAAAAATGTATTTTACTCTTCTCTATAACTAATAATTAAACTTATAATTTAACTTATAGACCACTATCCACTGAATAAATTTGGTACTTGAATACTTAAAACAAAAATAGGACTACTTTCATTTAAAATATTAGATTTTATTTGACTATATATAATTTAGGTTCGTTTACTCTTTTATTTGTTAATTACTTATGTTAAGAATTTAATTTATTTAATTTAAATATTAAATTCTTTAATTAAATATAAAAATATTAAATTAATTTATAATACATTTTGATTAAATGTTAATATTTCATTTTTAATTTAAGGTTTATTGAAGGTTACAATGGCACAATTTTTACTTATGGACAAGTACGTAAATTATTAATTAGTTTTTTTGATTCCAAATAATCGGATAAAATTAATTTTTTATAGACCGGTAGTGGCAAAACTCATACAATATGTGGTACAACAAGTAAAGAAGGTAAAGGAATCATTCCGAGATCATTCGAACTCATATTCAGTACAATGGATAACAAAATAAAAAAGGGTAGCTAATTAAAAAAACAATTATCAAATTATATTTCACAGAAAATTCAAATTATGATTATAGATAAAATAGATTATGAAGTAAAATTTTCATATATTGAGATTTATAATGAAGTTGGCTACGATTTATTAAATTTAAAAAGAAGTGTACAGAATTTTAATATTGATGAAATGAGTGATGATCAGGATAGTGTAAATTCAGACCAACCCACGTAGATATTAAAAAAAATTAATGCTTGAGTTCAATTCTTGGTTGGGTTGATAAATTTATGATTTATATAGAAACAAAGTAACGTATTTATTCGACAAAAATGGGCGAGTTGTACTTCAAAATTTGACCTGCCATCAAGTAAATAATATTAATGACGCATTGGATTTAATTAACGAAGGTGATTTAAGAAGAAGAATATCTCCAACTCCAATGAATATTCAATCAAGTAGGTCGCATTGTATATGTATCATTCATTTAGTTCAAAAAAGCAAATATACAAGTCGAGTTTTTAAATCAAAACTCAATTTAGTTGATTTAGCTGGGTAGATATTATTTAAAATTATAAAAAAAAAATCATAACATAACTATAAGATATGCAATATTTTAGTTCTGAGCGAATATGGAGATCCCAAGTAGAAAAACAAACGCTTTCGGAAGCTCGTTACATTAATTTATCGTTACATTATCTGGAACATGTAATTGTAACTTTATCGAATTCAGTAAATAAAGTTCATGTACCTTATAGAAATTCAATGATGACATCATTGCTCAAAGGATCGCTAGGTGGAAACTGTGTTACTGCGATGATAGCTAATATTGTGCTGAATAATAATTGTATTTTAGTAAGTCCTCATTAGTTCTGCCATTTGATTAATCTTAACGAATTTTTTTATTGATTGAATAAATATTATTAGTTCAGTATATTTTAGATCGGTAACATAAAAATCAAATTGTTTAATTACTTCTATCATTTTAGAGTTGACTCAAAATAATTTTTCTATTCAAATACAGGAATCAATATCCACGTGTCGATTTGCTCAGAGAGTAGCTATTGTTGAAAACAGAGTAAAAGAAAATTGGTACTTAGATCCACAACAAGAGCTTGTTTTACTCAGAAATCAACTTGCTTTGACGAGAACACGTGAAAACGAAGTAAATCAAAATTTACGATCTTCATTTTATTATCTAGTAAAAAAAGTAAAGTTCAGTAGAAATCCATTAAAATGGTGTTTAGAAATTTTTTAGATTAGTATGGATTGATATCTAACAGTTTAATATTCCTATCCTAAAACGCTTGGATGTATATTTGAAAAATTAACCTATCCAGTAAAAATATATTATTTTCGACTTATGAATATATGTGATATATATGACTATGATATATACATAAATATTCTCTTACTATGCAAAACACAAAATCAGTCATTTATACTCAAAACTGTATTATTTTTGACATTAATAACTCCTAGAAATTAAAATTTCAGATAGTTTTTCTTCTTTTATATTAAAGTACATTGTATTAGTTTTAATTTGATGTAGGTTAAAGTTTTTTGGAACATTATCAAAAATTGAAAAGAAAAAAAAGTTAAATAATAATTAGGCCACTTTTGAGTGTATTAATAAATTATTTAATTCTTACGAATTAATTTATTTTTAAATGAATAAATTCATAACTAATTAAGAATGTAAGTTAATTTAATTCAACTAAGAATGTGAATTAAAATATATGTAAAAACGCTGCAGTCGACTAGTTAAAAATATATTGTTTTCAATTTTGACAATAATTAAATTTGTATATTATTTTATCCTTCAAATAATATATGAAATGAATCATTTATAAAAACCTACTCTATTACTTACAAGTTATGCTAAGAATTTTTTACTTTTGATTTCTTAATAACGTATATTTATACCTTACAAAAGTATCAACTATACTGTTTTAAATGCAACATACAAACTAATAAGCTTACATATTTTTTTTATTTTTCTTAAATTTGACATGCATAGTATTCCTGAAAATTTGGAGGGTCTTTATAACCCTCAACATGCGTTAATAGTTATCAATTTGTTTTTTAACAATTATTGTTTTATAGTTAAAATATTATAATGAAAGTTAGTATGGATGTTTTATTTTTTTTGTGGATGTGAATTCTTAAAAAAAAAGTATTTTAATTACAAATGCATTTGTAAACCTTGCGCAAAAGAAAAATATCATTTAATTATATGATTTTTGATTGATATTGAAAAAAAGTTAAAATAAAGATCTAATAAGATATGTCTAAAAAAAATTATCATTTTTCGTGTTTTTTTCTATATAAAATTTTTTTAAATTATTTATTGTAAATCAAATATTTTTAGTCAAACAAGAGCATGGGTAAGTAATCATATTTAAAACTCTCTTACAAAATAATAATAATAATAATAATAAAGATAAAAAAGATACAAGTGTTGTAAATAATTTCAAGGAGACTTTTTGTAGCTTTTAATATACTTAATAGATTTGCCCATTAAATATATTAAAAAAAGAACAGGGGGATCGCGGCACAGTGGTGACGTGGCATAGTTGGATCAAGTATAATGATATCTGATAGTGATTAAAATCACTATCAAAATAAACGCTTCCATGCAAATCTTTAGATAGTGTTTAATTTAAAAAAAAATGGTGTATTATTCCAAAAGCTACATTATCTGCTAGTTCCTTATTAATATCCTGATTAAGATAAAGTATGTCAAATGAAAAAGGTAATATAAAAAAATATTATTTTTCATAAAAAAATTGTGTTGATCCATACACTTTTCAATAAATTATAGCATTATAAAGTTAAAAATGTAAAAAATAAAATCAAGAATTTTCACACAAAAATAGCATTCGGTAGCCATTTACACCACGAAGACAAGCCCAGAGGTCAAATTTTTTTTTTCATAACAAAGTACATTACATTAGCTTTAATTTAAGATATATATAAAAGTGTCAGACCTTCCGAAACATTTTCAAAAATTAAGTTGAAAAAGTTAATTTGTTGTGAAAAAGTTGTCATTTTAAATCACCTCCTGTGGGCAGGTTAAGTGTCAGATTTACAAAAATTATATGCTAAATGATAGATAAAGATATCAAGCATCTATAAAAAAAAATTATATTAATATGTTCATTTTTGAAAATGTTAAGGCAGTTTTTAGTAAAAAAAATTGAAAAAATTAGCGATTTTTAAATTTGTAATTTTTTTGGAGGTTTCCCCCATTTATGGGGAACGAGGGAAATTTTTTCAATTTTTGAGGGTAATGTCTTCAACTAGATACGATTTGTGATCTTTTGACGTATCGTTGAAAGAAATCGGTTCGGTGAGAGCTGAGAAAAAGTGGCAACAAACATAAAAAAAAAAAAAAACACATCATAGTAAAAATAATACCTTCTCAGCTTCGCATCGAAGCTAAAATGTCGCTTCCAAGAAAAATGATCTAGTTATTAATAACTTAAAGATAGGCTATAATTTCAATTTCATAACTGAAATAATAATTAACTCATATAAGCTAGAAAATTGAATTAAGAAAATTTTTTTTCTATTTTTATTAAATCCATACTTAAAAACTTGATACATGTTTTCCATAGAGTTAACAAAATATGCAACTACATTAAAATTTTTATAATTTATCTGTAAAAATTACAACATTTAATATTAATATGTAATTAATAAATCATATATAATAAATAATAAATCATATAACTTATAATTAGGATATAAATAAGAAAATAGTAGTTGTTCTTTTTAGAATAATTATATATTGTCTTTTAAAAATGAAAACTTTTTAAAAGTATTTTACAAAATTAGTAATAAATTCAAAAATGGGATGATATAAAAAATCTAATTGCACATTTGAAATCGTCGCAAAAATGGGTTTAGAAAAGTATATTATATTAAAAGTAAATATATTTATATGTAACATCAATTTTATTTTTAATATTGCATCAAGCCCATCAATGTTTTTACACGTTTGTCATAAAAATAATAACTACTTAATAATTTCTCCATAAATATTACAATACTAAATTATTAAATAACAATTTCATTTATATGTTTAATTGCTATAATGAATATTTATTCATAACACTTCATAAATCATAAAACTTTTTAACAGAATATAAATAAGGAAATAAGTGTTCATTTTGGTTTTGGAATAATTTACCAATTTCTTAAATTATACACTATTTACCGAGTTTCTTATGATAGTGATTTTAAATATTGTTAGATATCGTCTATACCTATTCTAACTATACCATGTCACCACTGTGCTATCGTTTTTTTATATTTTAATATTTTTTTAAGGTCCAATAATTTTTACTATAAAATAAATTGAAAATTTATTGACATCATTTAAATTATATATTTTATAAATTATGAAAATATTTCTCGCAATTCAATTTGAAGTTGTACATTCTTCAATGTTAACATTTTATTTACTTATAATTTTACAACTGTTAAAACAAAGGCGGCATATAATAGAGTTGAGAATATAAAAATATCGGATTGTTTTTAAGTTGTGCTCTAGTAAATGTTATATTATTTTGTCAAAACAGCAAGTTGGTTAATAAATTTTGTGGATAATATCAGTTTTTTTACATTTCACAAATAGAACATATATCAGGTCTACATGACGAAGAAGTAATGATGAATACTTTTCCTGCGATGATTGTAATTTTTATCTAGTCCACATAAATAATGTAAAAGTAATACTATATGGCAGTGCAATGAATATCTACTCGATAAAAACATTGAGTCTTTATTGTTTGTTAAAAAACCTTATCTGAATATTTTTTGAAAGATAATATTTTCAACTTGATGTAAAATTTGATCATTAGGACGTGTATGTACCGCTGCAAAATTTAATATCGCAAATGCGCTCAAAGAGTAACAAATAAAATCATAGTTACGAAACGTAGTGGAATCTGAAAATGAACTTTTATGACTCTCATAATTTTGAATTTTAGTTTAATTCATTTTTGAATCTATTATTTAGTTTATAATTATTTTGTTATATTAATTGCATCTTATCAAGTCGGATTATTTGTATAAACTCATACACAAATATGTAATATATACAGGTTGATTGTTTTGTAATGTAAATTGTTATGTAAACTACTCAATTATTTTGCAAAATAAATAAAATATTGAAAAACAATTTTTTATTTTATTATTAGTTACATAAATTTCTGCAGCTATTAATTACTAATAGTAATAACTCTTATAACTTTAATAGTTGTCGACTTTATTTTTGCTTTGATAAAAAACTGCGAAGCTAAGAAGTTATTTGTTTTGTGATCGTAGCATGTCCATAAAAACTGGCAGACCTTATAGGGCAGATTTTGATGAAATATATGTCAAAAGACCTCAATTTAATTTATTTACAGATATCCCCTTCAAAAACTCTAAAAAGACCCTTAATTTCTAAAATTTGGAATAATATCTTAAAATGTAGAAGCCGTCAAAAACTATAAAAATCATCAATTTTTTCTTCATTTTAAAGTAGCGTTAATTTTCTTAAAAACAGACAAATCTTTATAAAATGTTAATAGAATACAATAAAGATTAATAAGTCAATAATTTTTTAGGTGTGTTTAGAAAATAAAGGGAATTTTTGTATTTTGAAAAAAGTTTTTATTTATTTATATACATTAATGTTGTCGCCTTCAAAAGAGTCCCCATTAGATATTATGCACTTGTGCCAACTCTTCTTCCAATCCTTGAAATACTTCTCAAATAAATCTTTGGGATAGCCTTCAGCTCATTCAGCGATGCGCTTCTAATGTCATCTATGCTTGTAAAACGACGGTCCTTTAAGGTTCTCTTTATTTTTGGAAATAGAAAACAATAACACGGATCTATGTCTGGCAAATATGGAGGCTGGGGCATCGTTACTGTATTGTTTATGGCCAAAAATTCACGAACAAGCAATGAAGTGTGAGCAGGTGCATATCGTGGTACAAAAGCCATGAATTGTTTTACCACAAATCCAGGCGTTTTTTTCGGATTGCTTCACGTAAATGGCGTAGGTAGTACTCCTTATTGACCGTTTGAGCTCATGACAAGAATTCATGATGCATTATGCTATTAAAATCAAAAAACACAGTAAACATAACTTTCACATTCGATTGCTCTTGTCAAGTTTTTTTCGGTCTTGACAATTCAGAATAAATCCATTGGGACAATTGAGCCTTAGTTTCGACGTCGTATTCATAAACTCCTAATTCATCACCTGTTATAACGTTTCAGTAATTCTGAATCGTCGTTGACTTCATTAAGTGACTCATAAGCAACTTCCATTCGCCGCTGTTTTTGTTCAAAATTCAAAAATTTTGGAATAAATGCATATGGCATGAACCAATCGATATCTCAACATCAGCGACTTCTCTGATTGTGATTCGGCGATTGTTCATAACCATTTTTTTCACCTTTTCCGTGTTGGATGTTAATCTGCTGGGGCGTCCGGAGTATGCATTATCTTCAACGTCTTCTCGGCCATCTTGAAAACGCTTATACAACTTGTAAACCCTTATTTTACTCATGGCAGACTCACCATAGATCTTTTTTAACATTTTACATACTTTGTTACCTTTATTTCATTTTTTACGCAAAATTTGTTACAAATCCTTTGATCATTTTTTTTAACAGACGAAAATCTCCGAGCTCATAGAAGCACGTTTAACCTAAGCGGCTGCCACTGAAAAATTAAAAAATTTAATTTAATAAAACTTCAGGGACAAAAATTTTGATAACCGGACTCTCTAAATTCGCGAACTAAAGAAATTCCCGATATTATGCGAACACACCACGTATTTTTTATTTATTTTCTATTAATTTCTTTTTATATGTTGTTCATAAAAATCAAATGGGAAATTTAAACACAGTAAGGTAGCAGTGGTCAAATAATTTTGCCAGAAGAGGAGATAAAAAACTTTTGTGATAAAAAATTTTGTATGCGCTGTAATCTGAGTATTTTTATTTGTATCGACTATATAAGGATATTATTGCGAATTACTGAATAAAAATAAATAACTCTCTTTTTGTTAAGATTCCAAAATATAAAATATGAAAATTATAAAAATTGTTAAATATGATATGTCAATGAGGGGATTTATCTACTTAATGTTCTGCCATTGATCGTCACAGTGGAAAAGGATTTAACAAGACTAATTATGCATGTAAAATTTTTTGTTCATATTAGTATTTGAAACTTTTCTGAGACAACTAATTATTCTAGATGTATATTGAATTGAAGCTTTTGAATTGTATTTTATTTTCAACAAAAAATTTGAACTCGTGACTTCGGAACGTCTAAACCTATATTAAATTAAAATTTGTTTAAAATATTTTATGATGAAAAAAAGATGAAACATCTCGATGATTTAACAAGCCTTGATAGATACGCATTACAATTACTCTTTTATAATAGTGATAGTTTATCATTGTCAGATATCATTAACACTTATTTAAACTTTGTCACGTCCTCACTGAACTGGATTTTTTGTTTTGATCTTTTTGAATCCATTTTTAATAATAAAAAAAAATACATAATAATAATTGTAAAAATATCAATATAGTTCTCTACACGTTAAACACTTTCAAAAGATTAAATTGAATGTATTAATTAGTAATAAGTGATAACGTTTTAAGAACAACCATAAGAGGCGTTGAAGTTTGTTCAGTATAGTACAATATCTGCATAATTAACACATATTACCATCGATAAATAAAAAAAAAGAAAGAGTGAGACTTGTGCCTCTCCTTATATACGTTACTGAACACGAACATGGGAACAATTTATTGTTTGAAGTTGTTAAGCTATGTAATCATGGACAACTCTACCCATAATAATGTACAATAATAATAGCTTTATAATAGTACGGGTCTCAACCCACTAAACGGTTACGCCGTTCAGTGACTACAGTGCAGTTCTTGTATATGTGGCGAGCTTACAAGTGGTAGAACAGTTGCACTATCAAACCGTGACATTAAACGGTTAAAAAAATATGATTTTTAAAATCGATAAATTTAGACATTTTATATACTTTTTTTCTTATTATCACAATTTTTTTAATATGATCTTTTAGCTTAGTATAATTGGCTTCTATAGTATATGGATTATATAGTACCACAGAAATATTTTTCGTTTTAGTGGGGTAAACTTTCTACTCCCCACAAAAGTTATCTCTATAACAACATTCGAATTACAAAGTTTTCAAGTCAGTTAATAAAAATGTGTACTAATACTTATGTAAAACATACTGATATTATGTTCGGAATTACTTAATAAAATGTATAAATGCATATTGTACCAAGTCCTAATAATAACAGTTATATATATATATAAATTAAAAAAGTATGTCATTTTAAAACCAATAATTACAGTTATATTTATATTAAAGGACCTATTGTTGGACGAAAACGAAATTGAGGAGTGTAAAGATACTGTATTAAGATTTTTGAATGATGAAAATTCAAAAATTATTATGCCACGGAAACGTAACCAAATAAAATATTGTTTTGAACTGATGAAAAACGCCATTAAAGCCAAAAAAGAAACTATATCAGAAAATAAGCGAACAAATACAGATGAAAATTTTACAAATTTAGATCCAGTTTCTTTACTTACGAGTTTAAATTGTAAAATGAATTTAAAGGATACAAAAATAAGTAAATAAAGTATTTTTAAAAAAATTTAATGTTTGAACCTCGAGAAAATATAATTTTCCAGAATAGAATTTATTCAATTCATAGTTCTGAAGTTACAATTACATATAATTAATTATTAAATGATCAATTGTTCAGGAGACAAAAAAACTTATTTTTATAATCTCTAATTTATAATCTCAATATTATTTAATACCTTCAAATTAATTATTTTTTTAGTTACAATTTTTAGATCGTGCCATGTTTTGTAAGTGTTTCAATGAATATTTTAATTTTATATTTTATTTTTCTTGATATTTTACTAGTAAATAATTAGATTGGAATTTTTTCTTTATATTTTTAATGAATTATTTTTTTAGCTATGCTTATTCATAATCATCAAACAATGAAAATCAAGTTTGCTGCTAGTACAGATGAAAAGTTCATTAAAAAAATTAGAAAATTAAAATGGGATGCTTATGAAGATTTAGATGTAAAAAAATTTATTTACCAAATAAAATAATATAAACCACATAAATATCCACTAGATTTTTCTTAAAATAATTATGTTAAGAAAAATATGTTTAATATTAACTATTTTCCATATTTCTTGATTTATAAATTATTAATTACTTTTTTAATTCATCTATTATACCTTATAAGCGTGTAATTTTTTTTTTTTTTTGTTAAATGGAAACATATATGTTGAATAGCTAATAAAATAAAAAATGATCTAATTAAGAAAATAATTGGTCGATAACAACTTTTGGACCATTACTTTGAAAGTTTTTAATAATAATTTATTAGTTAATTTATAACAAAGCGGAAGGAATGGATAATGTCTAATTATAAATATTGATATGCATGCACTTCATCTTTAGTATATATATTAAAATGGTAAAAAATTGTGAAATGCATGTTTAAAGTTATTATCATACAGTCATTTCCTTAATTGGAGTATTATTTAAATGATTTTACTTAAATATATATGTTTCTATTAAAAAAATAAAGACGATATTTTAAAAAGATATAAAGAATAAATTAAAATAGTAATCTATAACTGAGAAATTGAGAAATATATGAAAAAAAATACATAATTTTCTTTAACATAATTATTATTTTAAGAGAAATCGAGTGGCTAATGTCAAAAGGATAACTGTGTATATTGGTGGATTCAAAACTTTTAAAATATAAAGGAAATGTTTGCAATGTTATGGATAGATGAACAGGGCCGCATTTAGGGGATAATGAGTGTTATTACTCCTTCCGTGTTTCTTGTTTCTTTAAGTCCTGATATTTATAAACTAACATCTGAGATGTGCAATCTATGGTCGAAGCTTAAAAAATTTGTCTGTGGGGCTACAGTCATTCAATTTCATAATTTAAAACTTAAAGTGAAGCTTACTTTTCCACATCTCTTATCTTTCTTTATCATTTCCTGTTCCTCAATAAATATAGTTTATTCGGGAACAACGATTGTTATTATGAATATTTAAGCCCCCACAGTCACCATATAAATTACCCAAATGATACACCTCACCAAATAATTCAAGTTTAATCACTGAACCTGTATAAGTAAATTTAGTTAAGTTCATGTCATACCATAAGTTTTCATATGAGTTGTAATAAAATTATTAAATATTAATAAAAAATTATATCTTTAATGACCTATTTAATTAACTTTAATTATATAGACTTTTCTTCTAGAAAACAATAATTTCTTCTACTACTGCCAGTGGCGGTCTAATTGTTTCCCGCTTCTGACATTTTGTACAATTTTCATTATATATATTATTTATTTTGGATTCTTAATGTATGATAATTCTATTTATAAATTATTAAGCATAGTTAATATGAAAAAAATATAATTCCTACAAATTTGTGAAATTAAATTTTAAGTTTTAATTATTATTTATGAGTAGGTAAATTCAACTAGGTACTATTCTAAAATAAATTAAATATTTAAAATAGGATTAATATAAAATATAGAATAAGCCATTTGCACATGTGTATATATAATTCGCAATAACATCTTGATACAATGATAAAAAAGGTTTTGAGTTAGAGGGTACAACTCTCATGAAGATTTTTATTATAAGATTTGTCATCCCTTCCATGGCCAAATTATTTGATCGCCACTGACAACTGCAATTATTTTTAATATTCTAATAATTTTAAGAAGCATCGCGTAACAATTATTTCTCTTTTTAAAGTTATTAGCATAAATATTAACTTAATTATAATTAAATTTATAATTTATGCAGACTTTAAAAAAAATAAGTGAAGACATGCACAAAGAAGGTATGGAAATGGGTGGTGGTGATTTTTTGGTATCAGATTCAGTGTCAACTTTAAGGTGTGGTGAATTACCCCAGTTTGATGTACCAAAATCTATCTGTAATAATAACTTGGCAATAAGTTCTACAATTAATTTAAAAAATGCATCAACTAATACTACAAAAGTTTTTAAAAGAACATGTGATAATTTTGTTCACATAGTACCATGTTTTCAACATCAGACTTATAAAAAATTTACTTCTCTTACTGACGAATTACACCAAATTTCTAACTGTGGTGAAAATGAAGTAAACGATTTAACTGTTGTTGCATTTGATGGACCATCGTACATAGACAATAGTAATTATCGATTTCTAAATAGAGATACATTAGAAGATGATGAAATTAATAAAGATTTTAGTTAATAATATTTAAAAACCCAAATTATTACATTTTCGTTATTTTTTAATCGCTTTTTATTTAACTATTATACATATTTTATAAATTTTTTTTTAACTTACTCATTTAAAAAATTGTCAAACATTAATCCAAAGGTATGGTTTAAAAATTATATATTTTTGACTTTCTATTGTTACTTATTTTACTATTTATTGCTATAATTTGATCTCAGTCAAAATTATTCTAAGATATAAATTTAGATTATATTTTCAATAAAAAATAAAAACTCAATAAATATTGTTTAATATACTTGGCCGATTTAATAAAAATAAAAATATTTAAGTTTTTTAAGGAGGAAATTGTGATTTTAGATTTCATTTAAAAATGTTTCATATTGGTTAATCAATTAAACTTAAAGATATATAAAGTTAACTATTATTCAATATTTTTAGTTATTTTTTTATAAAGGGCTAGGTGTTTTATATCTTCAATCTCCCATAAAAATGTTGTTTTTTTTTTAAATAATAATTATTAAATTTTAAGTGCTAATAATCTATTATATTAACTCTCCAATACATTGAATGTCCCTAAAAGTATCATTGTCTATTACATTGTCCAGTATTAGGGTCTTTATTTTTTTATCTCTAATTTCTGTAATTATCAAACTTATTTAACCCTCTCCAAGACTAAACACGTATAGGCAACACCGTTGGTCTGATCGGTTGTTGTGGAATAGCCAAAGTTGATTGGTGGTGCTGTTTTCAATCCGTAGCGTGCGTACTTTCGTGAGTGCTACAAATTACTCTTTGTATTTTTGATTTTTTTTAATTTCGGTGCGAAGCTTAGAGGTATAAATTAATACCTAGGAAAATTATTCTATGATGTGTTTTTTTTTTTGTGTCTGTTACCACATTTTCTCAACTCTCACCGAACCAATTTCTTTCAACGACACGTTAAAATTAACAAATCGTACATAGTCGAAGACATTACTCTCAAAAATTGAAAAAAATTCCCTCGTAAATGTGGGAAATCTTCAAAATAATAACAAATTTAAAAATTGATAATCAAAATTATTATTTTTTTTATAGAATGTTTATGTATTTTCCCTTCATTTGATATAAATGTTTTGAAAACCTGACTATTTATCTGCCTACAGGGAGAGATTCAAAATATCAACTTTTTCACTAAAGTCAATTTTTTAAATTTAACTTTTGAAAATGTTCCGGAAATACTGCGTCATTTAAATATGTGTTGATTAAAAGATCATGTTACGTACTATAATTAAAAAATAATAAGTTCCTATTCAACTTCCAAAAATTACAATTAAAATCTAATCGTAGGAATAATTTTTTCTTGTAATAAATTTTATATTGACAATGGTTTATAAATAAAATTAAAATCAAGTTCAATCTATACATTTTTATATATAAAAAAAAAAAATAGAATCATGAAGTGGAGACATTGCATAGTGGAGACATTGCATAGTAGGGTCCAGTATAGATTTAATCTGACAGTGATTAAAATCACTATCATAAGAAACGCTTCGATGCAAATCTGTAGATAGTGTTTAATTTTAAAAAATTGATGGATAATTGCAAAAGCAACATCAACTTCTATTAAAATAAAATACAAAACCCATAATTATCATACAAAAATAGTATATTTTTCAATATGGTAGCCATTTGCGTATAGAAGATAGATCGTCGGGACAAATTTTTTTTTTTCATTTTGTAGTACATAAAATAAGCTTTAATTTTATATATGTTTAAAGGACGCAGTATTTCCGGAACATTTTCAAAAATTAAGTTGAAAAAGTTATTTTTTGTAAAAAAGTTACTATTTTAAATCCTCCCAGTGAGCAGAATAAGTGTTAGATTTTCAAAAAAAATTATATCAAATGAAAGGGAAATATCTAAGGTTTCAATACAAAAAAATATTATTTTTATTTGTTCATTTTTGAAAAAGTTATGGCAGTTTTAAGTACAAAAAACATCCCGATAAAATGTAATTTTTATCGCAAACATTACATTTTTTTTTAAATTTTCGACAGCCATTTGCACATAGAAGATAAGATGTCGGGACAAATTTTTTTTTTTCATTTGATAGTATATAACATAACCTTTGATTTGATATATGTTTAAAGGACGCAGTATTTCCGGAACATTTTCAAAAGTTCAGTTGAAAAAGATCTATGTTTTTTACAATATTTTAAGTTTTGAACGCCCCCTATATAAGGGGAAATTGTCCAATTTTAATAAAAAGTATGTCAAATGAAAGATGTACTTATAATGTATTTAGAAAAAAAAAATTTGTGCTGATATATACATTTTTCAAAAAGTTATAGCATTTTTAAGTTGAAAATTTAAAATCGAAAATCGAAAATTTTAACACAAAAATAGTGTTTTTTTAACTACGGCAGCCGTTTAAATGTAGAAAAAAAAGTGTCGGGACAAATTTTTTTTTTTCATTTTGTAGTACATAAAATAAGCTTTAATTTGATATATGTTTAAAGGACGCAGTCTTTCCGGAACATTTTCAAAAATTAAGTTGAAAAAATTAATTTTTGTAAAAAAGTTGCCATTTTAAATCCCCCCCAATGAGCAGGTTAAATGATAAATTTTCAAAAAAATGATATCAAATGAAAGGTAAATATCTAAGGTTTTAGTATAAAAAAAAATTATGTTGATTTGTTGATTTTTCAAAAAGTTATGGAAGTTTTAAGAAAAAAAAGTGAAAAAATTTCGAAAATTAGCGATTTTTAAATTTGTAATTTTTTTGGATATTTCCCCCATTTGCGGGGAACGAGGGAATTTTTTTCAATTTTTAAGGGTAATGTCTTCAACTAGATACGATTTGTGATCTTTTGACGTATAGTTGAAAGTAATCGGTTCGGTGAGAGCTGAGAAAAAGTGGCAACAGACATAAAAAAAAAAAAAAACACATCATAGTAAAATTAATACCTTCTCCGCTTCGCATCGAAGCTAAAAAAAATTATTATTTAGCAAAACATAGGGTGTAGTATGCTTAATAAATCACACTGTAACTATAAAGATCAAACAAAAAGCTAAACGATTTTTTGAATTTTTTTTTGACATACCTAAAACAATTTCAAAAAATATAACAGTTATAGAATTACAATTTTACTATTCGTTAAAACATTTTTCTGGAGTGTGTTTTCATATGGCAGTGATACGTGGACAATTAACGTAAAAGACAGAAGCATTAGAGTTATGGATATGAAGAAAAATGACAAAGACAAAATGGGTATATAAGAAAAGTAATGAGCAAGTGCTAGAAGAAGTACGAGAAGAAATACAGCCGATGAAGGTGATTGAATCAAGAAAAATAAAGTTAATCGGACACATCATCTCGCACAATGATTTAATAATCAACATCTTTGAAGGAAATATAACTGAGAAAAAACCAAGAGAACGCCCAAGGAAATGATATTTTGAAAATATCCTGGAACTCATGAACTTTGCGTTTTTTGTTTCACTGAAGAATTTGGCGTCAAACAGAAAGGAGTGGCTTCAACGACAAGGCATTGCCTTTAATAGATGTTAATGATGAATTTTACTATAATAATATTTAGGGCTGGGTCGATTTGCAATCTGATATTTAATGTCAGCCGACATATAGGGTTTTTTTTAAATCCGATATTTTAAAAAATTGTATTAAAATATAATAATTATGGTAGATCTGTTATTAATCTTGCAAATAGTTGAATAATATCAAAGAATTTCTTTTAATTTTAATTAATTATTTAATTTTAAATACCTAGTGCAAAAATAGTATACAATATGACTCATTGATCACTTAATAATTGACAAATAAAAATAATAGTAACAATTTTTTATTGGTTTTAATATAATTTAAAGAAAAGACTGGTGATGAGAAGTAAGTGGAACTATTTACATCACTAAACAATATTTGAAATCTTCCTTCCGCCTAGGTATAAAAACGTTAATAACTTTTGAAATATTAATTCAAAAGTTATAATCAACCAGTCACTTTTTTTTAATTAGTTGATTATCTATTAAATAAACTATTAATTTATCTATATTACCATTTGTGAAATTAAAATTGACGCTCATATGAGATATAAGAGATGAACATAACATTAAAATAACTTATTGACTGATAGTTTGAGAAAAATATGTAAAGAAAAAACAATAAAAAAATTGTTAATTTCATTTTTATTACGTGACACTATTTTGAGACTCTTTTTTGTACAAACGACAATTTTTTCATTAATTTTTATGCAATATTTGTTATGAAACAGCTAAATGAAATAAAATATTTAGTTTAATAAAATTAAACTAAATATTTTTAATTAGAGTAAAAATTCAATTTAAACTATTTAATCAGTCTAGATTATTTGAAATGTTATATTAAACTTTTAAAATAATGCAGCTATTCATAAATAAAATAATACAATCACAATATTATATAAGGAAACTTCTTGATTTTTGCCAAGTGAATTTGAATATTAACCACCTCTGCTATAGTTCTAATACTTAATGGACGACCTTGTTAAATAATTTTTTCGATTTTTCGACAATATTTTCGTTTGATAAGCAGTCCTAATCATAAACTTCACTTAACATTAATACGATTTCGTGGCAGTTTTTTTTTTAATTTAACAAGAAATTTAATGTTAACTCGTTTACTTATTTTTAAATTTAACATTTTTCTGGTAATATAGTCAAATATACACAAATAACTAGTCTAATGCCATATAATAAAATGAACCGATTTTATCAATACTCACAGCAGTCTCAGATTAGTGTTTCCTTATCATATTTCAATAATCGCTTAATAGAAAACTTTAACATTTTAGCCTATACTTAGAAAGTCTCATTGCTTTTCTGTCGTATCTCATGGTTGCACTAATACCTTTTCAAGCTAAAAGTGCAACCATAAAAATAGGTATCTTACTCTTTGTGACATCAGTTATACTACCATATATATTATTACTAGCAATTGATACATAGAGAAAAACTATTTAAAAATCACATAAAAATTATAAGTTAAAACTTATAGAAAATAAAAATAAGAGTAACATCTTTTTACAATTCGACACGTGATAAAAGAAAACTTCGTAAATCAATTTTAAATAATAAAATATTTAAATAGAAATCAATTTATGTAGAGTGGAATCTTAGTCAACAATTATTATTTTTATTCATGCATAAGTTGTATTACAATTAGCGCATTTCATCGAAAAAAATCCATTGTATTTACATAGCTTACTTCGAAAATAGGAATTTAAACATTCAGACCAATGTTAAAATTATCGCGTCTCGTATGATGGGCGATTAAGGTGCAGCAGGAGCTTTTTTCCTTTTTTCTAATATTGTCAGTTCAGTTCTAGCTGAAGAGCCGCCTTTACACTCAGCCATACTATGTGATTTTATTTTACAAAGAGGAAGAGCTAGTTGTTCCTTGAACTCTAAAGGTTTTGGTAATTGTTCGTAGTAATTTTTTGAATTAAAATTCGTTTGTATAAAAGCCAAGAATAATTATTGTCATATTTAATGAGTGGTACAAAATTTGTATGTACTAATTTTGTCTGCGCATTTGATTTTTGTACCTCCGATATTTGTTATCATTATTTATACGTAGAAATACCTCTGGGACAATTTGCGTAAACATTGTTACTGTTAATCACGTATTTTGCTTAAAAAAAAATTTTTTTGAGATTATTTCCAACAAAAATTGATAATATTATTACAACAGTTGAACGTTTTCTCGTATTTTTGTAGTATATTTAAAAAAAGTGTCTCTGAAATTTTTCAACAATTTTTTTCATCTGAGAGTTTTACAGTTTTTAAACAGTTGTGAACAGTTTCCATCGAATATATGCCTCTTTTGCCTAAGTAAACTAAAAAGGTATGTATAATAATTACTGAAATAAACCTTCAAATCTGTTTGTTTTAACATAACCCTGCATAAGCGTGTTACATTATTTGTACTAGACCTTAAGTCAAGTTCATGAGCTAATCTCATTTTAGGCATATTTTCATGGAAATATACAAGTATTTAGATATACGTAGTGACAAGATAACTATGCTGCGTACAACACCCTCTCTTTAAATTGTAAAATATAAATAAGTCTTGAAATACTGTTGTGTAGTGCACACAGGCGTTACATGCATAAATTTATTAAGTTGAACAGACTTTAATCTAAGTATTCGCGTGTAATTTTCAATTTTAATTTATTCGGTTGATAATTTTATTTAAATAATAACATATCGATGAAACTACACTTTCCGGCAGCTGTCGAAACTTTACACACTCGGTAAACTTTAAACACAGCATGTATTCGTCTACATAAACCACGAAAATTTAACTAATTAAAATAAAAAACTGAATACGTACATTTTTCATTACTTAGACATTTACGCCTATAAGCTGTCGCCGAAAAAAAAAGAAAATCATACACTATTTTCTGGGCAAATGATGAGAAAGATAAGTGTGAACCTCGCGCGAAGAAGCGTTTGGCAAAACAGTTACGATATTTTTATGGTTATTAATTGTTGTATAGGTATGGGCAACAATATAAATAGGAGTGTACGGGGCGCTGTGCCATAATTTTGTCCCAAATGCCGCCGTCCGTGTGTACCAAAGCGGTAGCGTCGACGGGCGGCGGTCAACTACTGTAATAAACCTGAAGAGAGCAGCCGGTTGCCCGCGCTATTGTCGACGGCGACAGCGGCAGCTCTGCACGGACGTCAGTTCGCGTCCCGCCACGCGCCAAACAGCTTTGTGGGAAGTTCGTGCGCCGCTCTGCAATAAACTGCTACCGGTGCCGTGCGGTTATACAAACGGTTATTTTTTTTTCAAAAACACTTGTGATTAGTTGAAAAATATTGAAAATACAGTTTGTTCTGCGGGTAGTTTAAAATTGTTAACTTTGTGCTACTAGTTACCTGATTAGCCCCGAAACCATTTGGATTTTTTACATATTTTTCCTGTTTTTTTTTTTGTTTGAGGTGAGTTATATCTGCATCTGCATTACACAGTATATCATATGGGTAGTTTAAGAAGACAAAATCGCCTATGGCCACTTAAACTGCTATTTGTCCGGTGCACTAGATAATAAGATAAATGGGTTGTTCGCGCGGTTTGAATATAAATGTATATGTTGAACTATCCGTTCGATTTGGCTCAAACTGTTAGCGACACAAACCAAAATTAAAAAAAAAAACTATATGATTTAAAAAAACACATTTTAAGTTTTCGTTTTTTATGCACAAGCATAGTACTAAATGATGCGACTCTTAGCCCAACTCGACAACATATTTTATATGCGCGTAATATTTATTTTGCTTATGTTACTGTTAAGTACACAAAAGTTATTTTATTATTTTACATAATATTTGATGATTCTTAGTAAATACTGGATTTTTAAAGTATTTTTTATGTACAATAGTAAAAGATAAAAAACACTTTCTTAGAATTTTGAAACGGAATTGTAGCGCAAAATAAATAATTATAACAATTTTTTGTGTATTTATAATATTACTTATTAATGTTATAAAATGTGGTCAAATTCATATTTTTATAAATGCATATACTAGTTGTAATGTTGTGCATCAAATATAAAACAAAAATATTAATCTTTGAATTGATTAAAAATCGAAAACGGAATACGATGGCGATGTCTTAATCATATTAGCGAGTGAAAGTGGTCTTTGCAATAGTTCTGTTCAGTATTTTAAAAGTGTTTTTAATAATTTAAGAAGAATTATTTGGCAAAGCAACTTAAGTCTTTACTGAAACGCATGTTATATTACACTTTCAGAAGTTAATGCTTTCTCATACGTGACAATAGCCTTATGGATTTAAATGTATTGAAGTTTCTCATTCATAATTCAAATAATTATTAGTGTTAATTTTCATTTCAATTTTCAATTAATCGGTTTATCAATGAATATTAGGGCTGCAAAAGACTGACATGATATATATAAGGAATTAGCATGTACTATGAAATCATAAAAGAATAATAGTTTCTATTCATAATATTGAAGTATTATAATGATTTTTTTCATCTGTTAATGTGTAATTTCGGCTACCACTGGATCAATTTCGTTAAATATTGTCTTATAATTAACTTTATGTTAATAAATTTTACTACTAAGACATTCAACTTAACTTACGATATTAAAAATGCGCACTTTTTTTCTGTTATATCAACATGTACTATAAAGAAGTTGTAAACTATTTTTTTTTAACTAGTCAAACTACCAAAAAATACAATTAAGTATTAGTGGTGAGATTTGAACTTTATTTAATGAAATGAAATAAAATGACAAAATATAACCATACTCTAAAGTCATTGTTGGGATAAGAGTTCAGTTAGTATTGAGTAATTTTTAACGAACAAATTAATAAATAAATATCTGTTTAACCAGGTTTTTTTACTCTAAATAATAAAATAACGACAAAGTTTATTGAACTCAGTACTTTTGTAATTCTGTATCGTAATATTCAATTATAATGAAGAAATAAAAGAGTTAGTTAAAAAAAATTGTTACTTTTTTTTTAATAAATAAGAAAATTACAAAAAATATTAGATTAATTATTCAAATTTGATTAAATAATGTATAAATTTAATTTTTTTAAAAATAAGTCTAAAATATATTCTTTTCGAGCAACGTTGGATTTTACACCTAATCAAAAATTTTTCATTTAACTACATGCCAAAAATTGCTTGGAAAATAAAAAAAATGTCATTACTCAATATTTATTACTTAAAATATTCAAATCTTATAAAATTATTTTATAAACTTCTTTAAGTGTTGAATTTAACATAAAAGTGTCAAAACATTTTATAATCTATATAATGAATTCAATTTTAGCTCGATGATATTGTAACGACTAAAAAACCATGTTAAAATGGTCCAAGATTTGATATTTAATGACACACCCTCAAACAATTATGAAAAAAATAATAATATTTGCCACTGATATAAAACCCCTATTAGTTGTGTAAAGCTTCTATGATTTTTCTTGACTTCCAGAACGGATTTAAAATTAAAAATTTGAATGAAAACTACTCCAAAATCTAGCCTAACATTACAGATTTTTTCAATCGTCTTTCATCATCTAAAAGGAAAAAATATAAGTTTTCCTGGGCATTGTCATTTTTACCGTCTTTCCCCAACTATGGAGTACATTAACGAAAACGATTGTAAAACTTTGTAACCAAAACTATTATGCATGTGTGAATTTATGAATTAATAGGTATTAAATAATACTCTTTTAATAATTTGGAGAGAAATTTGAAAAAAATTTTCTAGCATACTAATACCTACAATTTTCAAGTTGAAAAATTATTTCAAAACACACTAAATATGATTTTTTAACCACAACTAAAACTATAGTGCGCGCACATATGTTAGTATTAGTGAATAAAAAAGTATACCGCAAGGGGCTTTTATATTAGCTTACATGTGATGCTATATTTGATTGATTTTGAGAAGAACTGACTTCCGCCATATTATCCCGTCTTGCTCTATTCAGAAAGTTTTCAATATATTTTCAAAACTGCGTTCACAAAAAAATATTTTTAGTTTTTATAGATAATGTTCATATAGCGTTATTATAGTACAGGTACAAATTGTTTAGTTCGACCTATAAAACACACGTAAACAGTGGAAAATATACAATTATAACTTCAATTTTGTTATATTTAATAAAAACTATTAGAAATAATAATCAAACTATAAGAATAGTACTTAGTATTTTGTAGTTTTTCAAGAACATAAAAAACTACATAATTATTATACTAAAATTCTATTGTTAAACATTAATATATATATTATACAAAGTATACAATACATATTTTTAAAATAATGTTATAATAAGTTTTTTTTTTTTTTGAAAACATTTTTTTTTAAAATTTCTGTCTGGGTAATAACCATTAAAAAATTTAATCTTATAAAAACACAAAAATAAAAGTATTTGACCAAAACAAATTCACATTTATCATACAAATATGTTAGTAGCACATAAATGTGATTAATTAAATGTTCATAAACGTCTTTAATATAAAAAAAAATTAATATTATTGATCGCTTCGGTTGTAAATCGATTACAAATATGATTAAATATTTGCCAATATTCATAAATTACTGAATGGGACATCTTTCAGCATACCATCGTGGAAAATACTTAAAAATTCTTGAAAACAGGTTACGACTTATCTCTAATAATTGTTCATTTTACCAATAAACATTCTGCTATCCCAACTTATAAATTGCAATATTATACTTTGACATCATCAATATTACATTCCAACTGTGCGTTATTATTAAAGTCTTCAATATAATAGATCCTATCGGTCATTAAATTGGAATAGCTTGTATTAGAGTTCTATATTAACAAGACTGAATTTTAATATAAAAATACCTCCATCGATTTTACACTGAGTCACTTAACATAAAATCGTTACTTTAAACTTTATAAGTTATAGTACATAATTTAGGATACAAGCTATGTACAATGTTTAACTCCTTATTAAAACACTAAAAGGCTACAGGCATTCTAAGTATAGTGAATCACGCTATTATATCACATAAGTTTATGTACAAAAAAGGTTGTAATGGTCTCGCACACAAAAATAATCTTAAAGTGATACAATTTTAGAGCTATAACATCATGTACTTTGCGCAGAGGTAAAACTACAGGACATCATTGGAATCTTTTTTTTTTTTGATGCGAACATTTTGGTTGGGTTTTTTTTTTATTGGCAAGTGTTAAGTTGAACGATAATTACAATTGTGAGACAAGTAAACCATTAGCGATCGCTCACAAAATTTTTCAAGAGAGATTTTAAAGTATTTATTAGTAATGAAATAAATGTCTGTAGATATTTATTGAAAATTATGTATGATCGATTTATATTAATCTAATTATAAAAAAATATTATTTTTGTACAGTTGGTTTATAATTTTAAATAAAGTAATTACATGTTATGTACCGTTTAAATAGTATTGAAGTAGTATTGTCTACCAAAACATTTTTCAATGTCACCACAAAGTTTTTAGATCATTTAATACATCTTCATTGGCTCACTGCTACTATTTTATTGACATTGTTATAAATAATATAATAATAATAATAATATTTAATGTTAAAAAAATGCATATTATTTATTTTAAACTATATGAAATTTTAGTTCTCGTCGGTATGGATTGAAGAGCTGTTTTCGACTAAAAATCATATGTGGTGTATTGAATTCATTTTTTTAATTTATATAACTTTATAGCGATAAATTTATTTCTCGCAAGTAAAAAAATAAATGAAAAATAATGTACCTTTAAGCAATTAATTATGGACTACTTCCTCTTTCAAGTACAATTATGAATAAAAGTTAATAATAGTAAACAATACTATATTCGCCATTGTTTATGTTCATTATGTGTCCGATAGTGATGGATATTATTATTATTATTATTAGATGTGTTAATAATTAAATAATCTTTCATTGTTATGTTATTTTAAACGTTTTGGAATTTAAAATCTACAAAATTGTACATAGAATCAAACTAAACAGTAGGAGTTAAATAGCTTTTTTTAACAATATGAACAGTCAATTAGTTTTATAAGTCCATATTTTAATATAAGTCGTGTTGCTCGAGTCCCAAATGAAAATTTGTATGATATTAAAAAAATGTATTAGTTTTGAACAAACGTATTTATATTTACTAAAAAAATATGATCAGCCCTAATCAACTTAAGACACGTTAAAACTTGACTAGAATTGACAAAACAAGTCATTAGAAATACTACAGCGTATACACGTACAAAATTACATTACACCTGACGTTACCTATCAACAACATTTTTAGTTTTTCTCAGACTTCGACAAAACATCTTATCCTTCGGGACACAATCCCCACATGTTTTATGGTGTATCAGAATTAAGCGCTAAGCACTTTGTTACCTTCTTGGGAAACCACAAAGGAACTCTGGGTAAAGTTGTTAC